AATAAAGTTCAGATTTCTTATTAAGTTTTAATTAAGCATTAATTAAAACATAATATAATAAATATTTAAATAAAATTAAAATTTTTTCAACATATTATCACGCTTCTTTCCTATTATAACGGTCTCCCAAAAATATATATTTACAATGCAACACGCATCTGAATTTAATAAAAAATATATATATTCGAATCCTAAAACTGTTTACAAGCACTTTGTTAATACATATGCTTTTTATATAATAGCTTCTACTGGTGTCCCATTTCTAAATAAAGAAGGTTTATGCAATGAATCTGTCAAAGAATGGCGTTTTATTAGAAATAAAAAGGATGAAATTGGATCAAAAATTAGAGATTACTTGAATACTCAAATTTGAGTACAAAGTTATCAACAGCTTCCACAACCATCATTTAGTGTTCAAGATCGTAGTTCATCTTCACCTATAATAGATACAATATATACTATATTTCATAATACAGTAGCTCAAAAGAGAGCTATTGAACTTATAAGCAACTCGGAAAAAGAACTATCAGAATTAAGAGCTATGGCTCGAATTACCTTTAATGTTAAACTTCGTTCTGAGCTTAGTTCGCGTATAACCTCAGCCCAAAAAATAGTTGAGAAACAAGAAAACAGGTGTATTTTAGTAAATTAAAACTAAAATGTATAAATTTTATACTTAAATTTATTTTCATATTATTTTAGGCTTAAAAAACTTCAGGGTCATGCATATGCATAACGTAAATCTCAAGTTAAAAAATTAAAATCAATTAATGAAAGTGGTGTTGTTGTAAGGTATGATTCGGCTGGCCGTCCACCTATTCTTTTCAGTATCCAAGTCTCCATGATCATATTCATAGTTCTATTGAGTTTGGAGAAGCAGATGCACGAAGGAGATGTAAAATAATCAAAGTTAGAACAATAAATCAACTCAGACAGTCATTAGAAGAAAATTACAATGAATACCTTTCTTGTACTACTATGAGAAACTATACTTTACCTCGTAGTAATCGTAGCCTAAATGCGAGAGCCCACTACCACCCTGCTCTCGTTGAAATTGCAGGTGTTTCTCGTAATGAGATGAGAGAATATGTAGACAGGCACTATTGTCTGGCCTCAGTCAAAAATACAAAGCAATTTGCTTCAACTTTTGCTGATCATGTAATAATGATTTCTCAAAATGATAAGGCAAAAGTTTCAGTAGAAATTCCTGCAGTTGGAAAGCATTTCCAAACCATGCAGACAATTCATGAGCCTGTCTCTGTTCTTGATCATGACTTTCTCATCAGGATGTTACAAAAATTAATACCATCGGTCTACTTGATGATGAACCCAGGTGAAACAAATGAATCACTGCAGAAAGGTCAGCTATCCATCTTTATCAGAGCCCAATGATTATTTGATAAGATATAATTAAGTTTAATAAGGTTATATAAATTTTTTTTTTTTTAAAAAAAAAAAATCAAGTTTTTTTTTTTAAAAAAAAATTAGTCTGGCTATTACCTTATAGCACTGCTTATAGTATCTCTATAAAATAATACTCCATGATTAAGACTCAGGTATTATTAACCGTCCTATCGGTCTATTTCTTGAATAAGACCCGGGGTATAACTATATTAATTTATTACTTTTTATATGAATATCACCTAAATATACCCACGGATACTAATCAATTTCAAAAGTCAAAGTTTTGAATAAGACTCCGGGTACTATAAGCAGTGCTATATGGTATAATTCTATTATAATTTGTGAAATCTTGAAATATAGTCTAAATACTGTAATTAAAAATTTTTTAACATAAACATACTAATAAAATTAATTAAAAAAATAAAATAGGAACAACATCAGCTACACATCTAACAGATATACTTACCATGGTGAACAATAAGGATTTTGATACAATTTTCAAAAATAATGGAGAAGTCAAGCCACTATGGGTTCTTTTGGTGGATGGTGGGCCTGATGAAAACCCACGCTATCAAAAAAACATCATCCAATATTGTAAACTATTTCGTTATCTTGATTTAGACTACCTAACTATCAGGACACATGCACCAGGCCAATCGGCTTATAATGCTGTTGAAAGAAATATGTCAAGTCTCTTCAAGAAAGTAGCTAGTATTATACTAGATATTGACCATTTTAAAAATCATCTAGATTCACAGAGTAATGCCCGTGACCGTGAGTTGGGCATTCAGAATTTCCGTCATGCTGGAGAATCTCTTGTTAATCTTTAGAGAAGAGATCTAATTTATGGGAATCCCGTCTTTATTAGATATATTAATGAACCATCTATATCACTTGACAATATTGATTTTTTCAAAATGGTGACAAAAGAAACTCAAAATGAAAGTGAGAAAGAAGACAACTTATCTGAATTATGGCCTTGAATTGAAGCCCATTGTCAGATTTGTAATTACTTCCTTGATATCAGAAAGTGTGAAGACTAATTATGCTGCACTCCTAAAAGAGTTGATGAAGCTGCTACCTTACTAAGTGTAAATAATGGCTTCCTGCCCCCAGTAACTAAAGGAAAGGATGAGCATTATTTCAATGCTATACATACATTGCAATATTTTGATAAAATTAAAGTTCTCTTTTATGATCAACACCTTCTATTACTTTCAACTAACGCATATTTAAAGCACCGTTGTATAGAATGCAACAAATATTTCCCTACAATTGCATTTCTTGCAATTCACAAAAAATACAAGCATCCAAATAAGTGAGGACAAAAGAAATGAGCTCAAGTAAACTCAGCAACAATGGAGGACTTTCCTTTACCATCATCAAGTCAATTCCCAATTGTATTAATTACTGAATATCCGGTATCTGACAGGGAGTAAATTTGAAACAAACTAAATATTAGAAAAAAATCAATCTATATATTAGCAAACTAGCATATAAAGCATATAAATCTAATATTAAATTTGTAGTTTCTATGCTTGTAAACTAATAAAAATTACCTACTTGCTATATTGTTTTAACAGTGAAAATTCATAATTCTTTGATAATGGAATAACGTATCTCTTATTGAAAGGTTAATAAAAAAACTTACTATTTCGCTCCAGTATTTAATGAAAGTTGATTGTAAGTTCTTTTTCTTTTTGCCAAAAAAAAAAATTAATAATGAAATCGCAATAAATTTTAGATTCCAGAACGATTTAATAAGTCTTCTGCTATACTCTATATTTAATCTAGGTTATCTAATAAAACAAGATTATTATAAACCTGTTTGAGTTAAAAAGCTAAAATATTGTTTCTAATAGTC